AACGTGCTAATTTGTGCATTTATCACTTACGTGTATTTATGCTATATAGAGCTATAGGGTTTTCTTTCACATTTTTTATGTCAATATTCTATTATTAAGGTCGTTTCGATTAGGAAAACCAGAGTGTAAATTGCTAATTTTCCTGTACATGTAAAGAAGCAAGTTTATAGTGAAAATGTTATGTATATTTAACTCAAAAATGCATATAATTGTTACCATTTTACATACTGTTTGAGATAGTGATTACGGAAAGAGTTTCTAAAAAAGCTTTCAAGCTTACTACTCAATCCGTAACATTCATTTTTTGTCTATTATCATGTAAATGTAATACTTATAAATAAAATATTGTTTAAACTAATTAGGTCTTCTGTTAATCTGATGACTTGTGAATATGAAGAATAATTTTCAAAAAAAGAAAAAGAAGAACTATTGCAAAGAAAAACTATTGTACAAAAACGTTTTGATTGCTTTTGGTAGATTGAAAATTGTATTCTTGCCATTTGAATTACATATTAAAACCAGACAAGCACTGCACTTGTCTTGCTCACAACGAGGTTATGGTGCTCACAACGAGGATTAAAGCAAAAAAGAGTATATCTTCGTTTCTACGAAGACTTTCAGATGATAATTTACGCTGAAGACTTGTGGGCATCTGTTTTAGGTTACAATGCACAAAACGTCACCAGAATCGACGTTTTCAATGTTAAATTAAGTCCAAAGAGAAGTTGTCTCCAGTTTTCCAGCTACCCCGAGTGACTGCGTCGCACGGTATTTCCATCAAATTGTCCACCAACAGGCAATATCTTTACATGTGCTTACTCGGAAAACACATCGCTAGCTAACTGCATTCCGATATTTTTACAAAAATGTCTGTAATCTTCAAAAATTATGAAAAACTCACCTTGTTTATCGTGTCACTCGTCATAGATGGGTGCTCACAACGAGGAACGGAAGTTGCTCACAACATTTTTACCGATGGACATTTTTCACTCGTTGTGAGTTAAACGGGCGTGATATTTATTGACAAGATCATAATTATGCATATTATGTCGTGCAAAAATATAGAACATTTGAGTGCTTTCTTGATACTGAGACGGAAATTATTTATATCATAATGGATTTTCTTTCATAGTTTTGCCTTCCTCACTTCGTCCAGTATTTAATTAGTCGAGCTTCGCTGCCTCCTGTGATATTACCCTGTCAGTATTGTAAAAGTATTTAATATAATCCACGATCTAAAACAAGTTTTAACAATTTTCTTTTAAGAAAAAAAATGTTGTTTTTTTGCCTAGTAGGTTGTAAGTGAGTTATATTGAGGAAATAATAAATAAGGAAATTACATTTAAATAATACAAAATGTTATCAGAAATTAAAGATAAATAATACAAAATGATATCAAACTGTTTGCACTGAAAACCGGAAGTTTTTTTCCTGGTTTCCTGCTTAAACTTAATGATAACTGTGTGAGTAATTCTTTTATCAGAGTTCATACGCATTTGGTATTGTCTTATTTTTAATCGAATGGTAACGTTACGTTGCTAACCTGGTCAAAGCAGATTCATAGGTGCGGGTTTAATAGAGACTGTCAAATTTCATACTACGCCGAAGAAGCACGTTTCACTGCCTTTTTACGTTGTCTCCTTCATGTTCAAGGGTTAGCAGCTCGAAATTTTCTCACTTAATATTTGTATAATTTCGATCGATCAAACATCAACAATCTGGTTTTTTTCTATCTTAACAGTGGAAATACGCTTTCATACAAATCAAGAAATACGCATTCATACAAAACAATTATACATCATCAAAGTTGTTCATGCATCAATCATGCTGTAAGGTTATCAGAATCTAAAAATATAATTTAATAATATATCAAACTTTAACTACATGCAGTGTGAACTTCTGCCTACATGTATCTAGTATTTATTCATTATAAAAATCGGCTTTAGAATACTTTAACTTTCCGAAAATATTAATAATTTTGTAATTCATTTAGATATAGATAATGTAATGAACTAAAACTATGAACATCATTCAGCCAATTTTAACTTTGACTTGTTTTTGAAAAAAGAGGTATTGTAACAGTCAAGTCAGCGTTGCTTCATACTTGGCCACAACAATCCTGACATTCAAAGTCAAAATGTTTCTTGTTTTTTGGGGTTTTTTTTGCTATAAGTGGCTATTACTTTGTTATTTTTGAATGGATTGTCTTCAAAGTTACGTGAGCATAATAATCTTTTAGGACATACCTTCAAGTTTACAACACAGACCTTGACCATCACTCATAGAGTAACCTTGACCTTGAAGGTCAAATTATTGATTTTTTATTTTCATTTCTTGTATAATTTTTGCTGTAACTGGCGTTACCGTTGTTATTATAGAATGAATTGACTTCATATCATAACAGAATAGTCTTAAGGATAAGATCTTCGTGTATATTAAATTCAAATTGACCTTGTCCTTTTTACCTTGATCTTGAAGGTTAAATTATTGCAATTTTCACTGATTTTTGCTATAATTGACTGTAACTTAGTAATTATCAAATGGATTTTCTTCATGCTTTGATAAAACAACATTTTGGACAAGACCTTCAAAAAGGTTGAACTGACCCTGACCTTGAGCTTTAAATGACCTTGACCGTCAGGGTCAGATTATTGAATTTTTATTAAATTGTCATAATTTTGTTATTTATGTACAAACAAATCTAGCGTTGCAAATTGAATACCGCTCAAGGCGGTGCAAGGGAACGTAAGGAATGTTGTCTTTCATTATCTCTCATGTACAGACTCATTAAAACCGAGTCCAATTTTGTGTTGAGCAATCACTCCTTATCCAGATTTTAAAGCTCAACATTCATAATAAAAGCGTTTTCAAGCCAGTAAATAAGACAAAATGTACTTTGCAGATAGGATTGTATGCAACTCAAAGAATTTATATAGAAACTGTTTGATATCATTTTTAAAAAGTCATACAATGTTCTCTTCCAATATATTTTTATGGCCCATTATAACCCAGAAATGCTTAAATGTTTATTTTTAAGGCTTTTATTTTTGGTTTCCGGTTATAATTTTCAAAAGCTACTTATTGACAGTAGTTTGTTTATAATTTTGTTACTTTTATTTCAAATAATTCCACAATTAGCTGTACTTTCCTCAGGTAATAAGCACCTAAAATGCTTTAAAACCATAATTTACTCTAGTACAAGTGGAGAAACTGACAGCGAACAGCATGGATCCTGATCAGACAGCGCGGATGCGCAGGCTGGTCTGGATCCATGCTCGTCGCAAACCCACTCGGATGCGCAGGCTGGTCTGGATCCATGCTGGTCGCAAACCCACTATGTTGGTTTTGTCGTGACGCGGCTCATATATTAGATCTATACATTATTAACATTTAAAGCGCTGTAGCTGTCATACTGTACTTATCATCTCTTAAAACCGCGTACAGTTTTTATTGAATAAAATCTTCCGCTTTTGAGATTACATACCGAGCGTAATTGAAAAATGTTAACAAAACATTGATAATACCGTGATAATGATAATGCTGCCATGATAATAAGCTGAATTTATTTCCGACAGAACAGGGGAAAAAAGACACTATTGAATATGCTACATAGATTTAAAAACGTAATACTCAAAATCGTAATTTATACGAAACAGTGCCCTAACTCTAAACTTTTTCTGTCATCGAACTGTTTTTGTTTATTAGTAATAATTGCAACATAACAATTCCAGAAAGCTCTAAAAGTATAACTAGTGATACAAATTCACTAGAAAACATGCAAGAGAAATTTGCAATCTCTTTTTTTGCATGATAGTAATCTTATGATATATAATCGCCACAAAGTTGAGTAATGACAAGGGAATTTCTTCTTAAAACAATATCACTAAACATTTAAATAACTAAAAAATGATAGACTCAATTTTTATGTATACTTTTAAAACTCATAAAATAAATGTAGCTTGGTTAGAAACCACATGTAAATTGTAACCTTTATTTAAAAATGATTCCTACATTTAAATTGCTTCCTTCGTTAGAACAACTATACTGGGATCTTCCAGTTTACTCAAAAATAGTTGAATTATTCACAATTACATAACTTTTACCCTCGTTTGTCTTTTGTGGAAGCTCTATAATGAAAAGATTGTTTATTTGTTTGTCTGGGTTTTACGTCACTCCGACAAAGTATACGTCATAGAGCGAAGTTTCTGCTTTGACTGGCGGAGGAATACCTGAGGTGCCCTTCCGTGCATTATTTCAGGCACGAATGGGTACTTGAGTACAACCAACGACATTCCGTAAGCTAATTATGAAAAGTAAATGTACTATAAAATCAATAAACTTTTCACTTGAAATCTATTTGCTTTATTTATCCAATATAGTCTATTTTAATTTTGTTATGTATATAGGCTTTATTTTAAACTTGTTTAAAATCTGTTTCCTGAATATTTCAGGTAGAGCGCAGGACTGATAAACTTGATGCCGTGGGTTCGATACCTGCATATGCCACTATCCTTTTTAATAATTTTATTTTGTTTATATAATTTTTCATGTTCGTTCATCTTCTTTCAAGAAAGTTCTGTTAATGTTCATTCTGAATTATTCTTTCTGTAAGTAGTTTAGTAGATTAGTAGTATTCTTGATTGTTCATTGATAGTATATATATATGATGATTGTTTGTACTTCGAGTTGTGTGCTAATTTGTGATATTGTGTGATATGGATATACTGATTGTGTGCTATTTTATTATGATATCAAAATATTAGTTTAGATTCTGTAATTCTGTGTCATGTGTGGGAAGTGTTTTTGGACATATTGTATTTATTCTGCTGTGGACATTGGACATTGAAAAAATCTGAGTTGTGGACAATTGAATTTCGAACTGTGAGTTAAACTTTAGGACATTTGTTAAATAATAGTGAGTTAAACTTTATTTTCATAATTTTTATATTATTGTAAATAACTGTTTTTCTTTAATAAAATTGTATTTTTTTTGCTGCGTTATCTTCTCTGTTGCGTTTAGCTCGTAACAATTTGCATACCAGTAACGCCATAAATCACCTTATTAAGTTTATCAAAATAAAATAATTGTCTGTGAAAATGCGTCGCACTGAACTTGGCCAAAACGTTTTGTTTGTTCAGTGTATTTTTATTTGTTTAACAATTGTGTTTAAAGTTTACAAATATACATTGGCTAAAAGAAAAAGAAAAAAAGAGGAATGTGGAACGAATAATCTGTATGTGATGCAGAGTCACGAGAGTTGATAATGTTTGCAATAAACGCCTTGTTTTGCGATTGGTTGCTTTCAACTGAAGGTAAAATCGTCCCCTATATAACAGCAAGTATATCTTTCTTACTTCATTTAACATTAGCGAAACTTTGCAATAATGTTGAGTTCAATGTTCTTTACCGTGTGCTTTGCCAGCTTGGCGGGACGTATTATTACAAGGTACGATTTCCTTTGTATTACAAAGTAACCAATTAAATGCTTTAGTTGAATCGTCGAGGAGATGTAAAACTAATAAAAATATTATTTTCAAATTTTTATAGCTTTATAGCATAAAAAATTGGAATAAAAATGAAAACGTTTCCATCATTTGAAGATTTTTTTTTGCAAGGGAATACCTTATAGTGTGACTGTCCAAAAGACACTTTCATCTATGACTGTGTTTTAAGAAAAATGAAAACGATAAAATTTGACCAAACAGAATTGATTGAGAAACAGTACTTTGATTTTCAGTCACGGATCAGCTTTATTTTAGAATTAACGTATATCTGCGAACATTTCTTGTATTTTCGTATGAAGAAAACAAAATGATCATTTGTTTATTCGATGTTGTATTAATTTTCTTCTCGTTAACAGCAGTGTCTCGGAACCACAATGTTCAAAATTTCCTTATGAAGAAAAACTGTTAGAAAAGATGATTAGACTCGAAATATCGGTAGAAGCTATGAAGAAGGAAATTGAAAAATCTCGGAATCAAGCTCGGACCACTCTTGATGATTTAAAGGAAGAAAGAATTATTTGGGAGAATGATCTAAAAGCAAAATCTGACAAACGTTCTACAGATCTGGCTGCTGCCATCCAAGAGACCAAATCTACGGTTCAGGAAGAGTTGAAAACACTCAAAGTCGAGAAGGATAAATGGAATTCCGAATTAAAAGGTTTGTTTTATGATATGATAGAAGTTTATATACTCCATAATCTGATATCTGAGCATTACTAAACTTTATTTTTTCGTTGATATAGGTGATCTCTGTTATGTTTGGAGAAAGGTTTTGTGAAATATGGTCACCAACCATTTGTCATAACTCCTTCCAAAACTTTGAGGACTCAATATTACTGGGAAGAGCATAATGTACGTCCTATTTTTTTTTTCAAGTAACCTATATCATTAACATTGGTAATATCAGTATTACATATACGTACTTGTACACCATTGATCGGGTTTAGAAGTGAGAAAAGAAGCCATATTATTTTCAGTTTAATATATGTTAATATGGCACACTTTGAAAAATAGTTATTAACTATTAAGTGACGTTTCCTAGTTTAAGCCGTGCAGTAGATACAACTATGTAAAGAATCTTTGCGTAAAGAACATGTGATATTAAAAAAAACAGTTCATTTTAAATTTTAGGTACTTTCTTGATTTAAAAAATGGTAATTTTCTATATCCAACTGGTAAGTGTTCCTCGTCTTCTTTCTTTATGTCCAACTCGTATCTTAGTTACATCGTCGACAAATCTAAATGAAAATTAAATTCTTATAACTTAGATACATTTTCATTGTAGAATTTGTAAGAATACCAGAACTTGTGTTGTTCTCTGCACGAAATCCGAAACAAACTGCATTACATAAAGGGCTTATCATGGTCTTCGGACAGGTTCTGATGAATGAAGGCGGTGCTTATAACAAAGAAAATAAAATGGTGTCTTCACTGTTCCATATGCTGGTGTCTATACATTTAGTGTGCAATTATGTGTATGGAAACAAAAGTATGTTGATATTGCTTTCATGGCGAACGACAAACCTTTTAAATTGTCAAGAGTCAATAGACACGACACATTAGGGGCTTCATGTTTTAACTTTGATGCTGTGATAATGGTTCGTTTCAACGATGAAGTAAAAATAAAAATATTGAGTTGTGATTCTGGGGAAATATTACCCGCATATCCTAACTATTGGAACACGTTTTCTGGCCGTCTTGTTTATGCAAGCTAATGATTGATACCTGATAGCAATTATATATTTAACGGGCCGGTCAAGCCAAAAAAAAAAGCTATTACCCTTGATATGAACATATATAGCCTTTGTAAAAGCATGCTCAATCTTAAATTTCCTGTTAGCATCAGAAGTATTGATTGTAAGAAAAAAGTGCATGCGGTCTAACGAGAACACTTCTTTATATACAAAATTTAAAAGTTATTTACCATTAGAAAAAGAAAACATAGCAATATATCTCAATTGTAATCAAGATGTTTAACTTTTTTTTTCTTTTTCAACACTCTTAAACATGAAAACATATGATATAATCAAGGTGAGTATCACTTTAAAAATGATCTCTATGACGATACAACAAACACAACAGATAAATGGTTTTAGTGTAACAATAAAGTATAGTATCCACAACAAATAGTTTTAAAAATTACTTCGGCCAAGAATCTTTTTTAGAAGATGCTTCTTGTTCAAAATGCTTCTTTCTACTGGAAAATAATGGTTTTATCAAAAAGATCATTATCGGGAAGGGTGGTTGTGTTATTAATCAAGCATGTTCAAATAGAATACCGTGCGTGTGGTTATCACGGCATTACTGTCTGGTAATTATTACACAGAATGGTGTGATCAGGATTACATAATTTTAAAATGTTTCTTGAACTTTATCAATGCGCATACACCCTCAGCAGAGATAAAATTATATATAAAAATCCATGCAAAACATGTTTTGAAGACGATCCCGTGTGTTGGAAATAAAAATATTCCCAAAGAATTATACCATTAAACGCAGAAGTAATGGGAAAGAAACCTTGATATAAAATTCAAGAATGTTTGATTAAACAACAACAACAATAACTTTCATTACCACATGTCCTGGACTGCTTACATCTGACAGAAAATGAAAAGACCTTTAAGCAATGCCAATATGAAGAAAGGATTTTTATATCAATGTATCAAAGATTTATGAGTAGCAATTAGATAGACAAAACATCAAAAGGGACCATGTGATGCTACAACTGCAAGTATTTGATATAACAATAATTTCAATAAATGATAAAACAATATATACTGGTGCTAAAATTGTAACATTTATTTATAAGTCAGTGAATGATACCGACCCATCGCCACCATTTTTTTTCTTTATCTTTTTTAAAATAATAATGTAATTCACACACAAAAAAAAGAAACGAACTCTGTCCTTAAAAAAGCCGGGCG